CTTTTTAGCTGCTGCACCACACTGTTGACTCATGTTCAACTTGTGGTCAACAGTGTGATGGAGCAGCTAATAAGGCCAATTTCAGTACACATAACCTGGGTTCAAAACACACTGCAGAAATAATCCAGTTTGAGAGCACTTTAGCTGCTCTGGCTCAGTGCTAGGGAATTCTGGGAACTTTAGTTTTGTGAGACATTTAGCCTTCTCTGTCAGAGAGCTCTGGTGCCATAATAGGATTCTCTAGCACTGAGCCAGAGCAATTGAAGTGCTCTCAAACTGGATTATTTCTGCAGTGCGTTTTGGACCCTGGTTAGCACCTAGTGTCCAATGGGCCACTGTGAGTACAGAATGATTGGCCAAGATGTGGCTTATTGGTATTCTGGAGTCAAAAGAGAGGTCTCGGATCGATTAGAGGTGAGAACTTTCCTATGGCTGCCTTCACAGATCTTTCTTCTGTTTCAAAGCTAATAATGTGGTCCAGGGACAGCCAGCTATATGCTGGCTGTCCCTGGACTACAGAATAATAGGGACTCCACAGGTAAATAAATAGAATTAGTCACTTCAAGCTATATCTTACTCATATTAATAATTTCAATTTATCAATATGTTGTTCTGCAGAGAGAACAGGTCAACCCAGGTTAACTGGATGAGGGAGAGAAAGGAAGGGGGTGGCAGAGAAAGAGGGAAAGAGAACAGCAAAGGATCAGAGAAAAAGAGTATCCCAGTTTGGGTCTGGATCCATCCATCTTCAAACCAACCTCTGGCATGTACACCCACAGAGAATGTAACTTAGGGCAGAGAAAAACAGTCTTTCACACCTAGGTTACATAGTGCAGCTAAAGAGCACAGGTATGGATGCAATAATGGCATTGTGGTTTGACTGTTGGCCCTGGAAACCAGGGTTTGAATCCCCGCTTGGTCCTGGAAAGCCACTGGGTGACCTTGTGCAAGTCACACTGTTTCAGCCTCAGAGGAAGGCAAAGACAAACCCCCTCTGAACAATTCTTGCCAAGAAAACTCTGTGACAAAGGGCCTTTACAGACTGCCAGAAATAATGCAACTTGAGTCCACTTTAACTGCCCTGGCTCAGTGCTAGGGAATCATGGGAACTGTAGTTTATTGTTGCACCAGAGCTCTCTGACAGAGATGGCTCAATGTCTCAGAAAAAACTACAATTCCCATGATTCTGTAGCACTGAGCCCAGGCAGTTAAAGTGGACTCAAGCTGCATTATTTCTGGCTGTCTGTAAGTTGCCTTAGGGCAGGAGTAGGCAACCTAAGGCCCGGGGGCCGCCACCGCCGCACACCATGATGATATTGATGATTGTTGTTATTACTTGTTCTTGGGGTTTTCTTGGCAAAATCTCCACAGGGGTTTTGCCATGGCTTTTCTGGGGCTGAGAGAGTGTGCATGCATATTTAAAAAAATATTCATATTTTTATTTATTTATTTATTTTTGGTGCTTCGCCCCCCCCCCCCCCATTGTCTGAGGGACAGCAACCCGGCCCCCGGCTCAAAAAGGTTGCCTACCCCTGCCTTAGAGTCACCATAGGTCAAAATGACTTGAAGGCACACAACAACAATGGGTGCAATGTATGCATGCAACACATTGCACACAGGAAGGCATGCAACCCCTGCACCACTGGGCTCCCTCTTTCCAAAGATAGGGCCATCCAGTGTTGGAAGAGTGGGATTTGGCTCAAGTTCAGCTATACCCTTCCTCTCAAATGCAGGAGCAGCCGTGATTCATGTGAATAGGAGAACATGAAATGGTGCAAATGGGGACGTAGTTAAAGAACGTCTCATTTCGACCTCATTGTCTGAGGTAAAACACTATAATGCAACATACACTTTGAACTCTGTGCTGTCACAATTAAACCTGGAATGTATATTAGGGCTCTATTATTTGGAGTTGAAACACCAGCTCAACCCATACACCTGTTTCCAAATGTGGTAGGTAGGAAATAGGCTGTATTGCGTATTATCAGGAAAATAACAAAGAAGTTGCTTTAGATTCTGGGGGGGAGCGCAAGGGTGAAGTGTGGATAGCCTATTTTTTGTGGCACCCAGGTTCCCAAGAGAGAAAATTGTTTTGGTAAATAATTATTTGCATATTTTTTTTGGCTTGAAAACGGCCCCCAATAAACTCTAGGGGTGTGTGAAGGACATTTCCACCATCTCTTGGAGGTGCTCTGCATCGCCCAGGTGTCAAAACTTGTATAAAAGTTTTGCAAATTCAAAAAAAAAAAAAAATTCACCCACATGCCCTCCAAGGGTGTATGGGTCATTTTTCCATCACATTTTGCAATTTCTTTTGCAACAGGATGTGAATCGGAAGTGGGTTCTGCTTACTTCTTGATGTTGAAAAGGTTTCTCCTGGGCATAAAATTGTCCAGAGCTCCCCAAAAACATAGTGAAATTGCCCCCCTAGTCCTTTAGAGGGCATTTGAAGGCAAAAAAGGAGATTTTGTGTGTGTTTGTGTGTAAGCACACAAAGCAAGAGTGTGGCTCTCCAAAGTCTCTTAGGGGACTGATGAGTCCCATACTTTTCCCCAGTTGCTCAACCCTTCTTTAAATACTGATATCTAAAGATACTAGATATTCTTTGGGATCTGATAAGGAGTGACCTGGGAAAGAATGAGATTTTACTCTAGGGCTGCATCTACACTGCAGAAATAATCCAGTTTCACTGCCATGGCTCAATGCTATGGAATTATGGGAACTGTAGTTTGTGGTGGCACCGGAGCTCTCTGACAGAGAAGGCTAAACTGGCTCACAAAACTGCAGTTCCCAGAATTCCACAGCACTGAGCCATGGCAGTGAAAGTGGTGTCGATCTGGATTATTTCTGCAGTGTGGATGCAGCCTAGATGATCCTGCTGTAGCTTTGTGTGCTTATGTACAAGAGGCAATGTAAACAGCTGCCTCCAGACTCACTGAGCATGTGTGAAGAGCAAAACAGAAAGAAAAGAGGGAAAAGCAGATCAGAGGTTTGCCACTGCCTTCCCCTGAGGCTGAGAGAGTGTGACATGCCCAAGGCCACCCAGAGGGTTTCCACAGGAATCAAACACTGGTCCAGAGTTGCAGCCCAACACTCAAATCATTATGCAAGGTGACCAGACAGCCTCCTTTTCCAGGACATGTCCTACATTTCAACCTTAACTCTTGCTAAGAAAAACTCATGATAGCTTTAGAGTTGCCTTATGTCGGAAACAACTTGAAAGCACACAACCACTAGCAGCCAGCCATCATTGCAGAGTGGTTTGAGTCGTGGACTAAAACACTGGAGACCATAGTTTGATGCCCAGATCAGTCATGAAACCCACCGGGTGACCTTGGGCAAGTCACATACTCTCAGCTTCAGAGGAAGGAAGGCAATGGCAAACCTACTCTAAACAAATCTTACCAAGAAAACCCTGTAATAGGTTTGCCTTAGGGTCACCATAAATTGGAAAAGACTTGAAGGCACACAACAACAACAACAACAACAGGGGTATGTTTTGTTGTTCATTTTTTGATTAAATACACCTGATGTTCTGCCTTTTGGTGAAAAGGTCACTATAAGTAATTATTATTATTATTATTATTACTACTACTACTACTACTACTACTACTTTGTGTGTGTATTGTGTGCCTCCAAATCCTTTCCCATTTAGGCAACCCTGAGGTGAACCTATCCTGAGTTTTCATTGCCAAGATTTCTTCAGGGGTTTGCCCTTGCCTTCTTCCCAAGGCTGAGAGAGTGTGACTGGTCCAAGGCCAACCCAAGTGTGGGTTTCATATCCCCATCAGGATTTGAACCCTGGTGCCCAGAGCCAGTGTGGCACAATGGTTTGAGTGTTGGACTACAACTCTGAAGACCAGGATTCGACTCCTCGCTCAGCCACACCATAAGTCAGAAACAACATGAAGGCACACAACACGCACACATTTTTGTATTAGGGTCGTGGGCAAGTTACACTCTCTCAGCCTCTGAACAAATGGCAAAAAACCCTCTGAACAAAACTTTCCAAGAAAACCCCATGATAGAGTTGTCATAAGTCAGAAATGAAGGCACACAATACACACATACACACACATTTTTCTATTAGGGTTGTGGGCAAATCACACTCAGCCTTACATGATGGCCATGGCAAACCGCCTCTGAAGAAACTTGCAAGAAAACCCCACAAGAGGGTAGCCATAAGTCAGGAAAAAACCTGAAGACACACAAAACACACACACA